ATGAAATCCACTCTATTCTTGAGTGTCACCGATCCTCGACATTATGCACACGACCATGTATTTTTCAGGGCCAACATCGAATTGGATCTCGTGCCACGGCCGACTTATGGGTGTTCGAGGCTGGTTTTGTGCATAGATAACTCCATTCACACATCATAGCAAATATGGAATGCGATACGTGGTTACCCATGATTACTTATAGAATACCACTAGAATAAATTTCTCCAAGCACATGCTTGTCAGAATGAATCTGCTGTGAACAACCTGACAGTACACCAAAAGCGGTGTATCAAGATTGCATGCAAATTGAAGTCCCGTAACCAAAACGAATGTTTTTCGTCAATTTGACGCCGGTACGGTGTGACATAATGCGCGGACCCTGCGCAAAGTGTAGGGAAAAACGCACTTTTCTGTGCGGTACCTCTTCGCTGCAGTCAACGTGTCATTTCAAAAGAAAAAACTAGTGGGCCGATGTCAAATTATACATACGTCGACAAATCACATCTTTTATGAGAAAGTTGGAGAGTGATAGATGTTTTCCCCAATTGCAAGAACTCTAATGGCACGAGTCAAATCTAGTACTTGCATAACACATGAATGCATGTGTGATGCCGTTATCGATGCCCTTAAACTACTTTTTACAGAGCGGACATATATCGTTCGCCGGAACATGAGACCTTGCTAGAATGTGTATATACTAGCAGGAAAATGAAATGCGTTCGGTGCGGATCATACAAGAACTGCGCAGACTAATATATGACCCCGTGGAACGAGTATGGATATCATATGGCAGATAATGCAATCTATAAATTTTGACTAGTGAGCAAATCGGCGGCGAGCGAGGGTGGAGCGATCTGAGAAGAAGTTCACATAAGGTATAACTTCCTATTAGTAGACTTTCGTGTGTTTCAAAATAGTACACTCAACAACAGTTATTTTTGTGTCGATTTCCGTGCGGGGACCGTCGGGGTACCAAGCTGGGCTTGAGTCTCTTGGATGCTCTTGGATGTTGTTTGTTCATAGAAAGGGACGGTGGCACAGCCTCAACCTCGCGTATTGCTCATGTGACCTTGCTTCCACTGAAATTCTCACATTACTTATTTTGTCCTTAAACGGACTTATCTCACTTGAGTGTCTTGGCGAAAGGTAGATCTACTTGTCCAACATTTCAACTTGAATGTATCGAGAAAAAAAAAGTTGATGTATATTAATATACATGTTTTATTATATTTCACACTAAAAAAATATGAAACATGCCAGGTGAATGATCTGTGCACAGTAGCAGGTGTCCTGGCATGGTGGCAGGATTTAGGGATTTGCATGGGTAAACCCCAGGGTACCAGAGGTCATACCCGCACATAGGGATCCACAGTAGGGTGCGGTGAAAAATTCAATAATTTTTAACAGCAATTAATTAACTGAGTTATTGACCGGGTTATTAACTGTAAATAATTCAACACTGGAGGGACACCGGTCAAGAACTGTAAATAATGTTCAATATCCCTTTGATGCCCCAGTCGAAGCTGGCCAATCTATCTTGTCATGGTGGACACATCTCACTTGTATTCCTGAAGGTGCTGTCCTTGCAGTATGTTGTTGCTCGTCCATTGACATTGATATTGTGCTAATCTATCAGCCCTTAGTGCATCGCACAGAATATATTTTCTGTGAAGCCGAATGACATGCCTGAGGAACGTACTATGTCGGTTTTCACCCGAATGAACTCGGCCCTCAGAAATCGCCAGTGTTACAAGTAACATCGGTCACATGGCCCCCCTATCATTTTCCCTTCATCCTCGCCCTCACCATCTACTGGCTCGTCCTCCTTTACTGACTATCCGTTGACCGGATCCTTGGGACCGTTCCTGTCCCTCGCATCACCCGCCTCTATGCATGTGTACGCACGTTCCTCTCTTGATTCGACCACCAATGTGGTCCCACACCTCTGACTTGGTCTGACTCGTGCCACCAATGTGGCTTTCCTTTCTTGTTCTCTTCTAACTGTGGAATCCTGCACATTGTATTCTTACCATTGGATCATTCCAACGTTTCTTGGTCTCATTCCACATTCGACCTCCCATCACTAATCCGGCTGTGTTGCCAACGTACCTATACCATTCTCGTTTCCCCTTTTCCCTTACCTGCAGTATGGTAACCCAGCCCTCAACCCTTTCCACTTAGTATAAGTAGTCGGTCACCCTGTACTAGATTCTCTAACTTGAATCTACTCAATCTTCCCTGGAACATACTTCTCTCTGAATGCCTCTAGGCTTCAGTCTCTAGTATCTTTTCTTAGTTGCTCCTCACAACTAAGTCTACCTCGATCGACACTCATCGTTCGGACAAGACTGTCCTTACTTTGAGCCTGGTGACTTCACAGACATCCGTCTTAGAAGTCATGTGACACGTGTGTCTGTGATCACTGCCAACTTGACGTCGCCAGTCTCACTCGCCATACTGGATCCTTCCGGTTACGTCAACGACCGTTAGTGGACGACACCCCTCTTAGGGTTCCGCATAACAGATCTATTTGAGTGCATAACAGCCAGCAAGTCCAAACACTCGTAGATATGATGCAGATCAGACAGTGGCATATGTATGATCCCGAGGTCAGTATATCATTTTTACACAGCACATTCCTAACACCTTGAATTTACAGAAATTCCGCTTGTGCGAGCAACCCACATTGGACTTCTTTGATGTTGAGCAGGTCATTTTCGGCAAAGGAAAGAGCACTGCTTCGCAGACGCACAGTATCACAGGAAGTTCGTTGATTATCGAAAACGGTGATGAACACGAGGAGATACTTGATGAAGATACTCATACCTGGCTCGACAACAAAATTAAAAACATGCTTGGTGATTCCACTTTCAATGCTGAGGAAGACATTGACTTGGACATGCCGGAACTCACAAAAATTCTCGCTGATGATCCACCCCAAGGGAGTGTGTTGAAAGGTAAGAAGAGAGAGCAAATGGTGGCTTGCATTGATGACGCCGACAATGCTGATGGCAAATGGGTCTGGAAGTGAAATTGCCCAGTGCACAGAATTTTTTTCATCAAGAATAATTAATAACACCTGTTTTCGACCAGTTAATAACAGTTAATAGCTTGGACGAAAAAATCACATGCCGACTGTCAATATGTGTTAAAAAATGTCGGTTAATAATTGACTACCATCTCCTGGGTTAATAACCCAGTTAATAACTGGCTGGATAATTTTTCACCGCACCCTAATCCGCAGGGGTAAACCCGCGGGTGTCCAGTGACTAACCTGTACCTGTACCTGTACCCGCCAACTACCCATACCCATGCACCCAAGGGTACTTGAGGGTATGGGTCTCTTGATGGGTCATCGAGGGGTAAAGGGTCTGAGGGGTATACCTGTACCCACCATACAATTCATGCATGTAGCTAAAACAAAAACGACAGTAGTAGTACCTAGTCCAATGTAATACTATCCCAACCATCTTCGAATTCCTCATCCTCGCTGGCAACATCAGGAAGGCTTGCAATGGACTGAATATCTGTGTCCTTTACTAACCCTAAGAGGCTCCACAGGCCTACACAAAGCAATGCTCATGTCATCTGCACAGATAGACGATTGCACACATGAGAGAGGAGGAGCCGTCCACAGCTGAATATGCGTTCCACATCAACAGATGTAGCTATAATATACAATATTAAATTTATGTGCTCACAAAAGAAAAAATACTCACCAGGGATAGTGAGATAATCAAGGGCCATACAAGACAGCTGTGGGTAGGTCTTGCGATGGCCATGCCACCAAGCAATTGGATCCATAATATTCTCAATGTTGGTGTTGAGGTACATATCCAGCTCCTCAGCTGAGGAAGTGGCTGTGGATTGAGTGAGTGATGGTAAGCGGTCAAAGATATTATGGGAGTCATCATCCTAGATATGGTTGTATGAGCCATCAGAGTGATTTTTAGAAAATTAGTATGCACCTCATCAACCTCATGAGCTGGATTGGCAGCAGATCCCTCAACAGCTGAGTGAACTGAGTGAGGAGCATAGCGCTGAAATTCCGTGTGAACAAGCCCTTCCGCAGTGTTGATCCACTCCTGCTCCCAGCCTGCTGACTTGAAATAGGTGAGCTTATGGCGTGGATGAAGCACTGTAATACAAAAAAAATATTAGAAATATTAGATAGAATTAGAGAAGAACAAAATGTACCCATTGCAATGTGATACACCACTGATGAGTTTGTGTATGAGTAATAACAGTTAAGTGTTCATTTGGCAAGCAAAAGGGCAGCGCAAATTGCAGGATCAAGTTGGTCCTTCTTGATGACACAGCTGGTAAAGACCATATTGATGTGGTCCATGGCTGGGATTACCATGGCCAAGTTTGGTGTGATTGCATCAACTGCAGACCAATACTCAAGTGCAAAATTCAGCATGTCAAATGTTGAGTTCCAACGAGTCGACACATCACATGGCATTATCCGAATCGGCAATCCAAGTTCTTCAAGCATCAATTTCCATCTTGGCAGCAGTATTGTGGTAGAATGCACAAGTTTGAAGGTGAGTCTGTGTAGCTGTGAGGGATTCTATCAGTATATGCATGTGAGTTGGAAGTTTTTGTTTGACTTTGACCAGAACCAGCCTTACTAGGCAGATACTTCCTGCCAACTCTGAACGTTCTTCAGCATTCAGCAAGGCTACCTCATCAATCCATCTGTCATCGTCATCGTCATCGTCATCGTCATCGTCATCGTCATCGTCATCGTCATCGTCATCGTCATCGTCATCGTCATCGTCATCGTCATCGTCATCGTCATCGTCATCGTCATCGTCATCGTCATCGTCATCGTCATCGTCATCGTCATCGTCATCGTCATCGTCATCGTCATCGTCATCGTCATCGTCATTATCAGGACCTTTATTTGGGTCTTCTTCTTGTGTTTGCAGCTCCTCGAGGTCTATCATTTCAGCAAGCTCATCTGGCCCATCCTTGTCATTGCCTTTCTTTGGTGCATTGAATTCTTGTAGTAGTGATTTTGCCACAAGATTTACGGTATGTAAAAAGCAATGAGTGCGATTCGTATCACCAGCAAAATGTGTGTTTAGGTCTGCAAGGTCTGCAACTAGTGTCTTGTTTGATGCAGCATTGTCAGCTGTGATGCTCAACATCTCATCTGATATTCTGAAGTCATCTAGAATGTTCGCAAAGGCTTCCGCTAAATTCACACCAGTATGGGACTGCTATACATTAGCACATGCTTTGATGTTTGAGTGAGTGTTTTTACCTGTGTGACCTCAACAATATTGAGAATCATTGAGAATGGCTGACTGTCATGCTCTAGGTGCACTGATATGGCTACATATGCCCTATGATTGGGTGATGTCCAGGCATCTGTAGCAAAGTTGAGCTCCCCCTCATAGTCCTGCTAAGTGTTTAGTTTTGTGGAGCTTGCGTGCTGAACTATCCTTACTTGTAGCATCCTTGGAATTCATCCGCGAGTATTGATAAAGACTTGTTTAACATCACGATGTGTGTGAGGAATGATAGCTAGATGAGAGGGGGTGAAAGGGGGAGAAAGGGTGAAGTGGGGTAAAACTCAAATAGACCTCTGGACGCGAGTATATTATTCGGCCCAAGGGGATTGCTACTGAGAATGATTCCTCTAAGTAAAATGTGAGGGGAAACTTGGAAACTAGTAAGAGTAATTGAGAATGGAAGAAGTGTGCAATGTTGCGCTGATGCGATGCGAGCGCGAGCAAACCGCCGAAGGTGCGATATGATATGTGACTGAGCAGTCGAAAGTTTGATGGAGCACGAAGGTGCGGAGAAAAGCTGAAGGATATATGAGCGAGCCTTTAGCGGAAACACGAAGGTGATGCGATGCAATGGTGAAACGGGAGGAGAGTCTGATGATAAGTGCAATGAGCAAAGTGTGAATGTTTAGCACAACCGTTAATGCAGCACATGATGTAGTTGGCCGAAGGTTTAGATTCTTAGTCTGAGTGTTGCATGCAAACAGATGATAATTTTGATAGTGGGAAAAGAAGATACATGAAAAATCTAAAGTACTAAGTATATATGATAGTGTGCTGTAGGTATACAACACAGAGTGGGGCTATACAAAGATGGCTCCAAACTGATATCTTTATGTTGTGGTCTTGCACTGCCTATCTGCTATACTTGTGGGACAAGTGCGTTCGACCCAGGGGTCTGCGGTCTGGGAATAGTTTTGGGGGTCAGTGGGTGATGTGAGGTCAATAATCCGAGCGTGGGAAACAATGTCCGAAGGTATAATTACGATGTCCAATGCAAAAGCATTGGGTCCGATGTTTTTCAGGTTTTGGGTTATTGGGTTCGGGTTCGGTGTATCTGTTAAGAACGTGCTCAAAGGTCGGATCCGAAGGGCTTGGCTTCAGCTCGTGCGCTGCGCCCCTTACCTGAGTACGTGCCCTTAACTTCCGAGGGCTGTTGGACGATGTCCGAAGGGTGTCGGACGAGTCCGGAGTCCGATGTCCGATGCGTGGGAATTCCGGCGGACATTCAGGAATGAAGGATAAGACTAATCCGGATGATGTCCGAACTAGAAGGAAACAGCAGAGGACTACCAGAGGTAGAGGCGGAGGTGACAAGTCTATAGGAATCGATCCTAAGACTAGTGGAGGACGACGAGAGGAGAAACTCAAGTCGGACGGAGAAGGGAATGAGCAGAGTCTGAGATAATATTCGAACTGAGGAAGTACAAAGATTCTACAGGGTTTATATACTACTGAGGACTTAACGGAGAATCAGTCTGCGCAGTCCAAAGCTATGCAAGGCTGTGGACGGAGCGTATAGAAAAGTCAAACACTAGTCTATCGGAAAATAGTAAATGAAGACGGAGATGAAGACATAGGAAAATAAAGGCGGAAATGAAACGAGGTACGGAAAATGAGTATAGTCTAACTGGAGAAGGAACGTACAAAGGGATAAGGCACGGAAGTTAGACGCGGGTCGGATCTGGACGATGGATAGAAGTTGGCTGTATCTGGAAGTCCGGAAATGATGTGTGTGATTGGTCCGGGTCCAGAACACGGGATATGACAGTATCGGAAACTAATAGTAACACAATAGCGAGCATCAGGAAAGCAAGCGGTGTGCGCAATAATAACGATGACGGGTACAGACGGTGAAGGAACAATGATATTCGCAATGTCAACTAAGAACTATGAAATATCGGCTTTGACCCCTAAACATCAGAGACGATTCTCCTCTACTTGGATGATGATGATGCTATGGGGAGTCCAATATTTATGTAGATATGTAGAAATCCGGAACCCTATAGGTGAAAGTAGTAGCACAATATTTCGGGTCCGATGTCCTATGTAATAAGACATGATGTACTGTGGACTATGGGAATACATGTAATAATGCGGTCGACAATGTTAGCAATGTGAAAACAAGTAACTATGCACCTAGTGGGGCTAGCGCGATGAGACTGGACATAGGTAGGATGAGTGCGCGCGATATCCGATCGGCCGATGTGAAACCCGATGCAAAACCCGAAGTCCGATGTTTTTGGGTTTGGTGTGTATTGAGTTGGATATGATAGGGAATGATTGGGGAAATGACTAGCATTCAACATGCATCAGAAAATAAACCTCTACAAGGCCACAAGGACTCCAAGTCCTACAGTGCAAAGCGCTGTTCGGAGCCAAGAAGATAATGGTAATACATATCAAGGGTCCATAATGCAAGTAATGGAAACATAAGCGATATCACTTCGGAAATATAGTCAGTCTAACGCAAACAAGATAAAATATGCACCAATGGACAAGTGGAGGACATGGATAGGATGGAGGAAGGATGGGCGATGGAGCCGAAGAAAAACGGATGCGCATGCATGAGCCGTGGCCGTCAGCCATCAGCTGACGATGGAAAAGATGCATGCCATGATAGTGATAGCACATACTGTGCTAGGACCTGAGGGACACTGCAAAAATAGCCTCTATGAGGCTATAAGGACTCCAAGTCCTACAATGAGCTACTGTTGACGGCAAAGTTATGTAATATTTGGGTTGTCCTGTCTTCATCAAGCTCTGAAATCCTCAATTGTTTACAGCTTCAAATGGCCTGAGACTCTCCGACACCCAATGAGCGATCTCCGCTCTACAGTCTATCAGTACTGGTGTATCATCAGATGAGTGTTAAACAAACCTTGTTTCTGTATGAGTGTGTTGATGGTGTGAGTATGTAACCTTTCCTTTGCCTTTGCGGTTAAATGATGTTTTAATTGATCCTGTTCTGAGCAGATTTGTGATGACTCCGTCTCGTGCAGCAGTCATACTTCCAGATTCCATTGCTGCTTACAAAGCCACTTTGCCTGAGTAGGATTTTATGTGCTTGCGCATATTGCCTGTGGACTTGGCATCTTTCTTATCAAGATACTGACAGATACAATGTTTGCAGGCTCATGCTGCACACTTGAACACATGGCAGCGACAGTTATCATGATATTCAATTGCTGGTGTAGGTTCAAAGAAGGCATATATAGGGGAAGTCCAATCCTTCATTAATCTGTCTACAGCCTTGTTAAATAAGTTTCTCAATTTTTTTTTGAGTGTAACATACTTAGCTCATCTTCAGAAGCTTCATCAGGATCTTCTCCAATGTCAACTTCACTTTTTTCGGATGAGTCAGAGTTTATAACTATAGTTTCTGCATGGATGGCTTCCTCAATACAGTGTAGGTTGACAACTCAAAGTGATGCTATGGGCTCCAAACTGTTGTAGGTCATGCACTGCCTAGTCTGCTATACTTGCAAGACAAGTGCATTTGACCCTAAAGGGGAAGCTAGTGCAGCATATTGGGATCAGTGTATTATGATGGAAGTACGAGCACAAAGATGGAAAAGGTACAAACATAGATAAACAAGGATGGACATAGGGGTAATATCCGAAACAGATTTTGTAAGCAGATACATGGACCAAAGACAAGTCCATTGTAGAGACTCATGCCTCTCCTTGTGCAATATTGCAGTTTTCACCAAGGAGTATACAGCACGAACTTGTAGCATCACTCTGTATGCTTCCTACAGCTATTCCTACATGGGGCGCAGCTTTCCTGCACATCACGCAATGTGCGCGCAACTTCCCGCGCTTCACAATGTATATGTGTGTGAGCTTTCCCGCGCTTGAGCGCCCTATAGCGCCAGCCATCCGGAAGCATCCATCCACTGTCCACCAAGTTCCCTAGTGCGTATATTTCCATTTCTCACATTTTCATATCATTCCATCTTTATTTTTATCATGGACCCTTACTTACATATATCCTTACATACCTTACTCGGTAGCGCTTCGGCTCCGCATGACAGCGCTTAGGCACCATACTTAAGCGCCAGCAGTACATACTATTACTCACTTACTCACCCACCAAGAACGACAGAGGACTGAACCAGAACAATACCCATTTACTACCCAGCAGAGCATAGTTGAAATCTATTCCTTGGCACCTCGCATATAACATCTCTCAGCTTGCATCTCTCACCTCTTGTCTAGTGTCTAATCATCACTTAAGCAAACTCACTCTTACTCTCTCTTGTTTCCGCATACACGCGCGTGCATTCCCGCGCTTTGTGCATTCTCGCGCCTCGCGCGCACCTGCGCTTTCCCATGCTTCGCATTCGCCAACCAGTAGTGCCTTCAGCATCTACTACTAGATCCTTGCTGCACTTGCTTCTCCTTTAGGGTCGAATGCACTTGTTGTCTCAAGTATAGCAGACTAGGCAATGCGCAACCTTACAACATTTATAGATACAGTCAGGAGCATTGTTCGTGCTTCACTGTATCATTGAACCTTCACTGTGTTCACTTACTTATGGACCAGGTACTTACTATTAGCATATCTTGGTATATATACTGTAGCAATATTTCGAATAGATTTCAGTCAATATAATATTCAGATCTTACTCTAAAGTCTACAGCTACTTCTACAGGTCATGAGCCCTGCATCGACTATGGATAGTACCATGCTCCCCAGCTCCAGCTCCACACTCTACAATATACCCCAGCTTGCCAAAGATGGCTCAAACTGGATAACATATAAACAAAGAGCCAAGACAGTGATTGATGCTCGAGGTTTGATGCGGTACCTAGACAGTCGAATAACAAAGCCAGTCCCATATGGGACAAATACA